TCTGTCTGAAAAACTATATACATATATGTAACTATAAGAAAACAAGTCCCTCAGTTTATTTGAATCAGACTGCTTTATCATATAGCTGCCATGGAAACGATCGAGAAATTATTACAAATAATATTTAATTTCGATGTTTTCTTATCTACTATTATTACTTTGTATTTCAAAATTTCTGATTTAATTTTATGAAAATCGGACGACTATATCATATAGCTGACATTGAAGCGATCGTTAACTGTAAACATAATATTTTCAAAGTTCTCTCCCTTTGTAAAGTTCTCAATTTATCGATTGAACAGTGCTAAATTAAATTTTGTTGGCTCAGTTTTGTTGTATGTTTATGTAGAGAGACATTGGACGCAGAATCATTCTTATGAACTTGATTTCACCAGTTTTTGGATGTGCAAATGAGTCATTCCATTATCCCTTTGCGTTTCGTTTTCCCAGCATCCTATTTATTTTCCGTTACCTGTCTTCAATTAGCACCTTGCCCTTCCTTCTAAGCGAGAGGAGGGAGAGAGAGGCGCTCACGTGTTTGACAAACAGCTGATGGCAGCATGCCATTGTGGCGTATACGCAATTTCTGGTTCGTTCTATCATATCTCTCTCGTTCTCTGTGCCTGCTGTTTCTTGGTGCCCATTTTTCTCTTCTCCCGCGCTTGCTTTTATGAATTAAATATAAGCCAGCTCTCTCTGAGAGAGCCTTTTAAAAAGTAAAAACCCATTTTGGACTGCACATGCAACGAGCTCTCCTCTCTCAGGCTTTGCCATTTTTGTCGCTCTCTTTTGTGTCAATTAACAACTGCATTCCATCTCTTTCTCACTTTGGCTTCGGCTTGGATTTGTTTTTGGTTCTGCTTCGTTTTGACTGCGTTTTGTTTTCGCTTTCGGACTCGGTCTTTGAGTGTTCGCCAAATTCCTTTTTGGCAGTTGCATAAAACAAATGCGAAATTCCGCTTTAGCGTTTCGTTCGCCTGTCGCGCTCTTTGTTTATATTATTTTATTCCAAGCTCTCTCTCCGTCGAGAAGTGTTAGGCTGTGCGTTCTGAATCCAATTTTTGTATTTTGGGTTTTTAGTGTTTCGGTGTTAATGGTCGGTCATTAAAATATGTATGTGCTGAGCATCGACACGCAGAATAAAGAAATATAAGACAATTCGCCATATCCGACTGACCATCTGTACTAAATATAAAAGCTAATATGGAAAAAATACATATTTACGATATATGGCATTCATAAGTTTGGTTGTGCGTGTTATGCAAACGTTTTGCGGATTTTCCGCTGAAAATCGTGGGAAATTCTTCTTGAAAGTTCCAAGAGGAGTGACGAGAAATCCAAAAACAAAACGAAAAAAAATTTTAAAAATATACGTAAAAAAGTATAAAGGCATAGAAAAATAATAACTTACTTATTTGACTTAAACTTAAACTGCTTAACAGCAAAAACCATTGGATAAACTTATACTTCCTAGTTGAATGCAAATCAAATAGTTTTAGGCAAATAAAAATGTATAAATATATATGTACTTAGATCGGCACCGCTTTGTTTACATAAATAAGAGGTAAATTATAGGGAAAAGTGCCAGAGAAACCAAAATGAATGAGGGAAATTTCGAGCTAGTGACGTAAAATTAGAAAATGAGTGCATGTCTATTAGATTTTATCCAATTGTTTGCATATCTGCTATAATTTAAGCTCCTTAATACTATGCCTTTCGTGTCATATAGAGGATCCAATTTTCTATTTTCCTGGCCTTTGGCGGCAATAAAAATCCCCAAACTGTCTCGACTTGTCTTTTGATATTAAAAAAAAACTGAGTCATTAATTGGCGTCTCATGCTAAGAAATTTGTTTCTGACGAAATCGTCACAACTATAATTATAAGAAGGAGAAAAAGAAAAAACGAAAATATCTATTTTGTGAGCATAAGCTATCCGCAATAAATATTGCAAATATTTATGCCGCGTATGACGCGTGACGCGAGGACAGCTGTTTAATGCAAACCAGTGCTGCTTACAACCCAAATAGCTAAAATAGATTTCCTAATATGCGAAATTCTATGTTTACATGTATGTATGTATGCACTAGTCGTCATAACCTTATAACCTTCATTGTACTTGCTTAAAAAAAGAAATAAAAAACATTTAATTACCTTAGTGTTTATACAAGTTTAAGGTAAACGAACACAATTAAGTCACACCATGATTCTGCAATCCAATGCAATTAAAGAAACTTTTTTGAGCTTTAAATTATTTGAAATAGAAAACAAATAGCTAATTCATTTTGTGATATTGCCAATAATAAAATAGATGCTTACCAGTTGAAACTCGGATTTTGGTAGGAAATAGCTAAGTTGGTAACACAGGTGCTCTGCATTTTATTTATTAACATGGATGTCCACTTTTTTTTTTTCACGTTGCCGCATTCTCCAAATATTTTTCCATCATGAATACCCCCAAGAGAGCGTACATTGTGTTGCCTTCTTTGAGGCGCCAATAAAGCGGAAAGACTCATACGTGCAATGCACCCAAAGCTGACCCCTCTATTGATTTTGACCTAACACCAAACTTTCTCCCCTACCTTCTATTGTAGTTTGCCTTGAAACAGGAGCAGAAGTAGCACACGAAGCAGGAGGATCAGAGGCAGCCACAGCATGCACAGCAGTGCTGGAGGTGGTAACTATGAGGATGTGGCCGCCGCCCGCCGCGGCAGGTTCCGCATCACGTCCTCCACGCCACAGGGTCCGCCAGAAACGACGCTCGGTCGCTTCCGTCTAATGCCGACATGTAAGTAGCCAAAGTTATCATAATCAATCATTATTAATACGCCTTAGAAAAAATAAATAAATAAATAAATAAATACTAAGCAAGTTCCTACTATAAGTTTCATTCACATAGTTCTAAAACTGCGCCTAGTTTGATACTAGAAAATGACAAACGGACACTGCTAGATTAATTCTACTCTTGACATTGATGACTAAAATAAATAATAAAAAAATTTTATTCGCCTGCAACTTTACTCAATTCTTCCTGAAACCCAGTATTCTGTATTGACTTGTTAACAGGCTAATTTTTGTTCTCCTGTTCCTTTGCAGCTAATTACGGTGCCATTTCACCCATCCTGCAGCGAGGACGATTTGCCGTGATACCCGAGGAGCCGCAGTCCGGCTCGCCGGCATTGGGCACACCCCCTCCCGGCGGCCGAGCAGCTCGTTCGCCCTCGCCCGAGTGGGACTTCGACATCGAGCAGGTGAGTGTGTGGTGGCCTAGTGGAGTTGATTTTCTTCCTCTCCACCGTTTCTGGTGGCGTCATGGTACCCTCCCAGCTGGCTCCACTAGGCCCAAAATGCATTGCGCCATTTTTATTGATTTTACTGTGAAGACTGAAGTTGTAAAAGAGTTGGGCTGGTGCGATTGGCACGCCAAGGCAATTGGCTCCGCTGATTTATGGGGCATAAACTGGGTTGTTTTTATTTAGGTTCGTGCTGAAATTAGAGTCATGTTATAATATACAGTATATTTTGTAGAAATACATAAACTTAAATCTTTTAAATATTTAATAATAGCTAGTGGATGAAATTTGGTTGCAACCAAAACTTTTTCAAAAATATATAACAATTAAAAACTATATAAATTATGTGAACAAATATACACAGTTTGATTTTGCGCTCTTAACAGTGTTATTGCGTGACGCAAGCTGCTTGCTACACAAATCCGTCGGTCTGGCAACGCCGCTAGATGGCTTGTCGTGGGGCCGCACCTCACAAACGCAGTAACGTTGCGCCAAGGTTTTCTTTGTTGGTATTTTGCACACTCAATTTGTCAGTCTCTCTAAAATAAATACACTGTGCATCAGTGTTGCCAGGTTACGACTGCTCGTTTAAGCTAGATTCTAAGCAAAAATAAGCTAGATCGGGCTCAAAATAATAAAATAATGTATATTATTAATTTTCCTAGTTAATTTAAGCAACATTTACGCCAGATTCGGTTCGAATTTGGAAATAAAAAAACCTTAGATCAAGTGGAAAAGTAGAATTACAGTTGGCGCTGTCAAAACTCTCTATTTTAACAAACGCTCTCGTCTCTGGATGAGGTTCATTTTAGTTCATTTTACTTCCTACTTAGGAATTTAACCCAATGTATGTGAAGTCATGTATCTGTAAACGTGTAAAATGTAAATTTAAACACGGGAATTTTAAATTTCAGGCGCAATTGTCAACAAAGCAATTCGTCTACTCCATGGTTTAGGAAGAAGTGTGGATTTTACATTAATATGAGTTAATTATTGTTTTTTTTTAACTACTTTTATAGACAAAATAATAAAACGAAAAGTTGATTGACATTTTCGTGTTCCTTCATAAGTTAAAAGTTATTTTAAATAGTAATGTAGATGCAAATAAACCATGTCCATTAACACAGATTGAATATTTAAATGTTACACGTGGTAAAAATATATATATATTATATAATGAGATATGCTAGATTAATTTAAAAAAAGGTATTTTTCAGGCTATAAGCTAGCGGCGAGTGGCATAAACTATTCCATATTAAAAATTCTTAATCTAGCCTGAAATAAGCTAAGCTGGCAACACTGTAATTTCCAGTTGATGAAATTGTTGTTGGCTAAGAGGAATACATTCTAGTTCACTTTTTTCTTTGCTTTCAAAATAAAATCTCATGTAAATAATTATTCGGTAGGTAATGAGGATCTTAATATAAATAAGCTGTTACATTGATTCTATTCAGAACAGCTTTTGTCAAATTATTACCGACCGTTTCACTACTTTCTACCCCATGTACCTGTAAACGTGTAAAGTTCTTGTATTAGACATGTGAGATGTAAAATTTTAAATAACAGCTTCGGAATTTAGAGTGACCAAAAAATAGATTAAAAAATAACAAAAAAATATATCGCAACATCGATATTTGGGCAATCAAAGTATCACGATATAAATATATCATTTTGAGAAAAATATCGATATATTGATATTTTGATATATTTTCAACAACCCCAGTGCGTTCGTTTTTATTCGGTGTCAACGTTTAAAAAAAATGATATTCGCATGTGAGTTGAGGCAGAAAAGATAACTGGCCGTTCTATCGCGATCGCTGCGGGCAAAAAGTGGCAAAAAATAAATGAGAAAAACAACGCTGGATAAATGTGTGCTTAACAACATTATTTGTGATAAGCTGCTGCGTGGGCAAAGCTTTTAATTGTGCGCGAATACTTCATGAAAATTGCAGCAACTACAGCCAACAATGTCGTAGGAACAACCAAGCAAATATCTTTTGATAACGCAGTTAATCTTTGTTCTTAGAAGTGCGCAAGGCAATTAAAAAACCTCCCTTGTTTCACTGTGTGATTCATCAGCTTACAATATTCAGTTTTAATAACACAAACCCTATTAATTTAGTTTTTTGTACACAACAAAAAATCAATAGTCTGCGATCAGCTGTTACGCATACAAGTAAACGAGCACACAAACACGCGCATGGCGTCGCCTGATGGCAACAACAACAACAACAGCAGCAAAAACGGTTGGAAATTTTCCACGGACAAATACTTTTATTTGCTCCATTTACCCAGTTCTTGCTATTGTTGTTCTTGTAAAATCAAAATTCTTTAATAAAGTATTGAATCCTAAAATCACAGCCAGACGAGAGCAAATGGAGAGGGGAGTGTCGTAGCCAGCAGAGAATAAGTCCTCACATCCTACTCTTGCTCTTCTACACACCCGCGACCCGATCAGTGTCGATGCGCGTTCCAATTGGAAAGTCGAGTCCAAAGTGGAAGCGCGCGCCCGAATAATTTTCTTGCCGTTTTTACTTGCGCTCATCGTATTGTTTTAAGTTATTGAAATCAATTCGGTTGTTGTTGTTGTAGCGTGTTTTCTGATTTATTTGGTGTTGAACAAAATGGCTGATAATTAGCCAAGCGAGCAAACGGGCCATCAGTGAAATGAGTGCGCTGAAATAATAATCTAATCTGAAAAGTCAACACCTTCGAAGTGTTTGAACATCCAGCGAAAATATGTAGTTATTATAATTTTGCCCTAATCTTTTTATATAATACGGCCAGCCGACGCGCAACACAACTAATTTCTTCTTATTTACAATCATTTTTAGCGCAGCTAAATGCCTAATCGCGAAATTGTTTACAAAAGTCAGCAGTGTCGACTGAAAACTGGAAGTTTTCGTTTTGTTTTCTGTCCGTCAATGTGAATGTGCCTGTGCGTGTGCCTGTGTGCGTGCACCGCGAGTGTGTTTTTGTGTTTGTCTGTGCGCTCAAAGCACACGTTAAATTAATTTCCAACAAGAAAAGTATCGACGACGATCGGATCTGCAATTGATTTTGCAATAACATCAAGTCACTCACTGATTAATAAACACAAAAGGTTGGTGCTCACAACTTTCTTCACCTGCCCCTTTGATTAATTGCTAAATTTGATTTATTTCCGCGCCTTCTTCAGTTCTTTTGTGTTGATATGAGACCGCGAGGCGTTTTATTTTTCCCCTGCTTTCTGATGTATGCGTTTCGAATCAGTGACTGAGTTGATCAGCTATGGGGGTGTGACATTTTGGGGAAATTCCCAAATTATTTTAAAATTTCTCCTTGATTTGAATTTTCATTCAAAATAACAAAGTGTTCCGAACAGTCATCTTGATTTTATCTGCTACATTACTAATAATAAATATTGAGATGGGATGCACTGAATGAAAATAATTAAGTTATCTTGAATCAAAACATACATAATTGTATTTTTTAAATAATTAAATGATGATTTAAGTTCTTAACATAAAATAACTTAGTTACTATATCTTTTTTTTTTAGGTTTTTATTAAGTTATAGTAATAGGTATCAGTTTGTTAAAGTGAATGAATTCCTCAGAGTGAACTGAGTGAAAAAAACTCGTCGTGTTAATGTGGGTTAGGACCGAACTAATTAAGCAAATAATTTTGATTGGATTTCTAGAAATTAGGAAGATAATATTATTTCTGACGTTATTCCGGACATATTTACATATTTAGCAATAGTGTACTAGAAAACCTAGTTATTCCTAGTATATTATATGGTAATATTCACAGTTGACCGATCGGCACGAGTTGGGTGCCAATTACCGTTAAACAGAAAGTTCAATCCCATGTACAAACGGACATTATTGAATAATATTCGCGCAGTTATATGGGTGTAAGAACAGTGGGGGATTAGTGTCTATACATATGTACAGTGGTACATATTTCGGAACATTGAATTGTGCAACTTTAGGCATGAAAATAACAATAAAATAAAACAGTTAAGTTTTGAATGATTTGTATTGGGTAGGTTATATACATATATTTAAAAGCATAAAAAGCTCTCCAGTTGCTTATTTCATATACATTTTTATATATAATTCAATATTGGTATCCAATTTACATATTTATTTCAAATCACATGACACTGCAATAGTAGTTTTCGTTGAGATCGTTGGGTTGAGTGGTTCTGTTTGTGGTTGAGGCTTTACTCCAGGGCCCCTTGAAAGTGAAACTGAATCTGTTTGAAGTATCTTTGCAATTAGTTGGCCATAAATTGTGCATAGCATAAATAAATAATGAAGGATATTGGTTTGCCTATCAATCACTATTTTAAGCCAGATTCTGTATAATTTTGTTTGCGTTTGTTTAATGCTGCGATTCCAGAATTATTACCAATTAATCAAGTTTTCGTGGCCCCTGAATTTGGTGTTCTGTGTCCATAAACCCTCCCCTCTCCAAAGTTGAACGAACCTCCTTCAATTTCTCTCTGAAAGGGAAACCTGAAGAAGGCCGCTTGCTTGCCTCGAAAATCAATATTTTTGTATAAACATGGTGTTGCTTTTGCGACACAGTGCCAGAGAAATATTTACCATATTGCTCATGTCGCAAATCGCATTGATGAGGATTAGGGCCTTTAAGGCTAGCGTCACTTAATACAGTCAAGTCATTGAAACCCAATATAAACGATTTCATTAATTGATCCTAAGCTAAGCTTTAGTATATCAAAGCGGCTTTAGAAAGCGAAGAAGGGGAAGAGAAATTCAAGTAAATCTATGCATAAGAAATATTTATATTTAAGAAGAATAAAGGTAGATATACATATATAACAAAAGTATGTTATATATATATTTTATTTTCTCATTTCTCACATTTATTTATTGATCGCAACAATTAATTAATTTAAATGACATTTTTAAAGCTTAAACCGACAATGTAACCTGACTCCAAACAGTTTTGTTCAATCTTTCAATGGACTGCATCTGCTCATTGAGCTGGCCGAGCTGCTGGAAAAGATAGTCGAGCTTGGCCTCAAAGTGCTGCACCACCGACTTGAGCTCCTGACGCACCTTTTCCACTTCGCTGTGCTCGGAGTTGGCCAGGTTTGGGGTGGCTTCGACGCTGGCGGAGATCTCGGAGGAGGAATAACTCGAGTCCAGAGGCTCCTTCTCCGGCATTCGGTACATGCAGGCTACGCCGTGTATGTACTCCCCCGGAAAGTCTGGATCCACACTGTCCACCGTGAAGGTGATGCCGTTCGGACGGATGAATACGTCCATAAGGGTTCTCAGGTTGAAGCAGTTCCACTTGTTGCCGTGTATGTAGAAGTGCGTTAGCTGGGAGAGCGTGGCGAAGGCAGAGGGATTGATTTCCGTGAGATTGTTGCCCGAGATGTCGAGCTTGCGCAGATTGGGCATTCCCTCAATGGCCTCTAGAGGCAACTCCACCTGGCCAGTGTTGCGCAGCACCAGCGTCTCCAAGTGCGGGGTATGCCAGCCGGCGGGTAACTGGCCCAGATTCGGGTTATCCGCCACGTCCAGATACCGTAACCGGGGCACCCGGCTGAGCGAGGCTAGCTGGACCAGCGAGTTGTTGCGCAGCACCAGATGCTCCAGGGCCTCCGAGGCGGGGAAGTACAGCTCTCGCACGCGATTGTCGCTCAGATCGACATTCGTCACCGAGCCATACAAGTTGACACGGTCCAGTGAGCAGTTGCGGGCCTCCAGGTTGGTGGCATTGAAGTTCAGCAGCAGTACGGCCAGCTGCGGGTTGTGGGACAGATCGATCATGTAGATTTTCCGGTCCCGGCTCCGCGACCGGAAGGCGTGCTCGCCCAGTTCGCGGAGTAGGTTCCTGTACAGCGAGACGGAGTGCAGAATCGGATTGTGGGCAAACAAGTCGCTGTCGACGGTAGTCAGGTAATTATCAGCCAGGCCCACGTGCCGCAGGCTCTTTAAATCATTGAATACACCCGGCGGCAGCGCCTGCAATCGGTTCTCCGTGAGGTCCAAATGCTGCAGCTCCTTCAGGTTGTCGAAGGCACCCTCCTGCAGCTGGCCGAGTCGGTTGCGGTTGAGGAATAGAAACTGCAGGTGGCCCGCTCCGCGGAATGTGCCGGCGGGCAGGTCCTCGATCTCGTTGTCGGTCAGCAGGAGTATCACCAGGTTCTCAGCGCCCGTGGAGAAGTTCTCCCAGTACATGTACCGAATGCCGCAGCCCCTCATGTCCAGCTCGCTCACCTCCAGTGCGTAGAACAGTCGCAGCGGGAAGTGCGTAAAGGTGCAGTTCTCGAAAATGAGCGTGCTGGCAGGCCACTCGTCGCCCACATCGTAGGTGGTGCCGTCTGGGGCGATTCGCACGGCTGTTTGAAGGTCGAATCTCGCCTTCTTGTCCTCTCCGTCGAAGTTAAAGCCACTGCAGCGGGTCACTTCGCCCTTGGTACGGCAATGGCCATCCAGACTTGACACCTGAACCGTTTGCGGATCCGCATCCTCGTCGCTCTCGGCCACGGCAGCACCGATGGCCGCCAGCGAGATCACCAGACACATCCGGACGTACATTGAGCGTGCTCTGCGTTTCACGATCGACCTGCAACTGATTCCAAACGATGACCGTCAAAAGCCTCGCCAGATAAGCCGCTCCTATAATGCTCGAACAATAATGATTGTTGTTGGCACGGCCATCATCAGTTCTATATAATTTTCTATTCTATTCATGGTGTTTTGATTTTGCGCAAAAAATTGGTTCATATGTAACGAGCACGGTTCGTTTCAGGGCTTAATGTCAGTGGAATTTAGTTTCATTAGAAGCAAAAGGATTTTATATCGTTTATAATACAACATTTTATATGATAGGGAAATAGAACTGTCTAAGAAGTTAGAACAGATCTCTTTTAAAAGTGTAATGTAAAAGCGAATGTCAAAAATGTATTTATATACATTTGTTATGAATACATTTTTATATTTTATATTTTTCAAGGGAATTATATTGTGAACTTATTTCGAATACTGTTTGAAGCAGTATAATCAAATTTATTTCGTTGTCGTCATCATTTTGATATATGTATGTTCATATGTTTTGCGGATTCTCATTTATTGTTCATTATTTGTCACAGCTTCTATGATGAAGTTCCCGGTCCGCTGAGTCCATTCAGCGATTCGCTACTGAATCCCATGAAACTAGAACAGAACCGTGTACACCATATCTGCGGAGCTATTTCAGAAAGCCCCTGTCCTCTTATCATCGAGTGTTTACTTGGCGATTTGCTCAACGAAAGGTGGAAATCTTTTGAATGCTGATAATGGACACATGAGGCCAAACACTTGCACAGTCCTAGCCGTTGAAAGAGGCACAAATCGGATCTTCCCCCCAGCCCCATTAAGAGGAAAAATGACGAGAGAGTCTTCAATTTTCATTGAAAAATTAACTGATTGCTGAGCGAATGAATCATTCTTTATAAACTGATACGTTTCATTTACACAAAATATTTATTTTTGTTGCTTTGGGCATTTGAGTTTCGACTCCCCTCATCGTTTTCTGTTTCTGTTAACTGTTTCATTCCTTGTTTGCAGTTGTATTTATTTATAAACAATCGTTTTGGCATGGGTTCAACAATTATTAGCATGAATGTGCGGCACCTTTTGCGCATCTCTCTTACACGAAGTAAACACTCGAAAACTATACTAACTTAGAATCCGAATTGGTGGCATATCAATGGAAAAATACATAAGATTTTTAGCAATATATTATCGAGCGAGCGAGTTGGGGCTGGAAGCACGTTCAACCTGCTTTCAGCCGCTCAATTTGTTATTTACAGCTTTGCGAAGTGAAAACAAAAAGATTATAATGACCGCAAAGTAAAGCTTTATTAATTTGTATGCAAACAAATTTATGTGGTTGTTGAAATTTATAAAAATTTGTCTTCCCCGCGCTTTCGGTGGGGCTTCTTGGCTTAATTCTACGCAAACAATTTGAATACAGTAAAGGTAATTCCCCTTAGTTCGAAATATCCCACAATTGATCGGGTTATTTGCATTGAGCTAATTATGGGCCAATGGTTTTTAAATCATTAGCCCCCGGATTGTTGTCGTTTGTTTCTGGCATTTCTGCTATTATTGTATTGTGGCTGCCTGCGAAGGCTCAATTGAAACGGCATGACTTCGTTTAGCGATAAATATTGTCGTCTGCGCGCCCCCTTTGTCCAATTCAATTTGCCGCAATTACTTTGCATACGAGTCAAGTGAAGAAGAGAAAAAGAGTGGGAATTACCAGCGTTTTCCCCGAGCATCCAGCAGACTTTGTCCCCCACGATCCTGTTCTGTATCCGAATCGAGTTCCCCCCAGCAATTCGGTGAATAATAACTTATAGCGGGCAATCGGTCACGTAAAATGCGCTTAGATTGTATTGTGGGTGATTTTATATGGCGCCTTCGCTTTATGGCACTTGATTTATTTTATTCATTTTATTGGACAGTCGGACGCTAAGTGTTTGAGAGGTAGTCAGCGGTTCTAAGTGCTAGGCCCCAACGGCTCTATTGTGGATATGCCCGGAAAATGAGATAACGTCATTAGAGTCGACAGTTCCTGAGGATGTTTTATAGCTTTTTTCTAGTATGGTTCGGCATGTTTTCAAAATTAAAATAATGCAAAAAATTTATCGAGATATTTATGAGTTAACGACTAAATCACAAACAGATGACTTTATTAGCCTTGATTTATTATAGGAGAAGGCTTTTTAGTAGGAAGTTATTATAGATGTAACATTGTAAAAAAAATGTTAAATCATTGTAGATTTTCGTTAACAAAAAAGTAACCTTATAGTATATATTTCATACCATTTCCTAATTATGAATGAGTTCAATAGATTATGCTTTATCTGATATTATTTGTGATACTTGAATGTTAGTAAAAACCAAAATAAAAGTGACTCAATTCTTCCATTAAAAATATGATAATCATAAAAGACTGGGTCAGACCCAGTGTAGCCCCACTTAGCATAATTTGGATTGGTATATACATATATTTACATACATACAGTGCTATAAAATGGGTCCTACCATCAGCTGATAGGCAAGCGCACAGTGGGAAAAATAATCGTTTTTTGTCATAATCAAAAATCTTAAATGTTTGTTTTTGTTCAAGGTACCTATTTTTCTTCTTTGTAAAGGTTTTTTAGCTAACTGAAGGGTAGTCGTTTTGGTATACATGCTAAGATCGTAGATAGATCATTATATATATTCATATCTAAGGTTCTTAAAGATTATTAAATTAATCAATGGACTTTTATCGGTTATAAATACTTGTATTACTATTATTCATTGAATTCATAAAAATGAATTAACCCGTCAAATTCGTGTCTATGCCAAAAATATGGGACTTTTTCCCCATAGTGCAATGTCATAGCGAGAAACATGTTGGGTGAAGAATCGAGGGAACGTGCTTATCGGCCGGCTATCGGGCCAAATTGCCAAATGTCTAATATTATCGCTCGGCTGAGCCCAGAACCAAAACAATACTTCAGCACAGCAACGCCACGGATCGAGTATTCATTGAGGGGAATCATAAATTTTTATGAGCCCCGAAAATCGAGGCGGCGTGCGATCAAAATGCAAGCAAAACACAACAAATTAACTCGAAGACCAGTTGTTCGACTTTTGTAGGGTTTTGTTTTCGAAGGTTGTGTTCTGGTTTGGCATTAAAAAGCCCCCACAGAGTCAGCTCTGAGCTCAGTCTTCTTCTGCCACGATGCTAAACTATCCAAACTATATTTGGCTGTCGCTGATCATCGGTGTCGCGGTTACTGAGTCACTGCCTCTGGAAGAAGTGACAGTTGGGAGCTTGGATTGTAGGGAAAACACTTGCATGGGACTGGATTATCCCAACCGCACAGAGGTGGCCATCTTCACCGAGAAGGTCACCAGAAATCTCATGAGCTACAAATCGCTGATTCTGCACAGTTCTCAACTGACCAACATGCCCAAGAATGTGTTCCACCAGCTGCCCCAACTCGCGGAGCTTTATGTCCTGGAGTGTGGAGTACAGGGAATAGAGAGAGAATGCTTCGAAGGTGCCCACAACCTGAGGAAATTGAATTTCGGAGGAAACTCTCTCAAAATGCTGGCAGACAACACCTTCGAACTTGCTACGGAATTGGAGGAGCTCAATTTGTCCGACAATCAATTGGAGGAACTTTCGCCAATGCTATTCTTGCCACTTAAAAAGCTTCAGAAAGTCAACTTGTCCAGCAATCGGTTAAAAACCATTCCCCAGGTTATATTCTCCCAATTAGCCTTTCTGAATTCCGTTGTTCTGGACAGTAACCAGTTAACGCAACTGCCAAGCGACCTATTCAGAGATCAGCTTAGGAATCTGTCGGAATTCTCCGCTAAAAGCAATTTGCTGAAACAAGTTCCTTCGAACATATTCCTATCGGTTGAGCACCTCCAACTCTCGTTTAATCCGCAACTCAAAAGGCTTCGACTCACAGGCAGAATATATGATCTCCATGCCACCAATTGTGGCCTGGAATCAGTCAAGTTAGAGGGACCTGTGGTCAGAGTCCAACTGGAGGATAACTTGAGTCTGAATGAGTTGAAAATATCCCAGCCTCAGGTTCTGGAACAGCTCTATCTGGCCAACACCAAGCTCTCCAGACTCGACTTTCTGTCCAAGGCCAGTAGCTTGGTTGACTTGGATGTCACCGGCATTGAGAATCTCTCGGATCTGCCTCAGATTTCGTCAGCCGCAGGTCTGGAGCGGCTGAGCTTCACCTATGAAAACACAAGCTCGGATCACATGGACATGCTGCCCCAGCTGAAGGATCTCAACTATTTAGAGATAACCCACGACAAGACCCGGGAGGTTTATATCAAGGATCTGGATGATGATTTCCTTGTCAGCGATGCTCAAATTCATTGCGATCAGTTAGCAGATCTGTTGGAGTATGTGGAATTGCCCAAGGACACGACGATATTGGAAGATCGCATAGTCGGAGATCGACGAGAGCCCCTCAGATGTGCAGCTGCGTAATAAGAATACTCCTAGATACTATAGAAAGTTGCTTTAAGTCGGAAAATAAAATAATTGTGGAAGAGAATACTTTGATTTCCCTTTCAAAAAGTCTGTATAGGTTGGTAACTATCATTATGAAAGCAGCATTTAAAAAGAGAAAAGAGTTGATTTATCAATGAATGATCTAATTTAAAATAAACTCCAATGTGAGGTGTATCAAAAAATCCCCTGACGAGATCCTGAGTTAGAAACCGTGTCTGGGCAAACTGTCTTATAAAGTGTCATCTTGGCATATTTACGTATCTCAATTTTATATGAAATCCAGCCAAACTGGACCTTGAGTCAAGCCAAAACTCTTTGCAATAAGAAGTAATAAGTCGCTAGTATATGACAAACAATTTTTTTCTAATTAATGTCATTTTTAAACAAAACACAAGTATTTTTATTAAAAAGGCCTATACATAATATTTCTCCACCATCAGTTTCCCTGTCTTGGACCCAAATGATGAATATTCTGAGATGTATACATTTCTGAAAAGTTCTTATATACAATGAACCCGTTCCATAAGAAAACAATTACAATACAATTAATCATTGCATTAATTGTTTTTACAATCTTTTGACAAGAGTTATTTTCGGTTTGCGTTTACAAATCGCTTTGCATTTCAGTGCCTCAACAATTCTTTTCATTTGGCGAGCGTTAACTTTTCGAAAACACTGCAGCCATTGTTTGTTTGCCAATTTGTCAAACTGATGCGATCGTCAGTTGATCGCGAACTTCGTTTGCTGGGCTGGCAGACGATTTTACTGATCTCCGCCGATTGGTATCAGTGGAGCTCCCAGATCTCCTCAATTGGCGATTAGCGATCATCGATTAGCAATCGCTCCATCGACCACCGACCAGTTTGCAAGACCTTCGACAACGTTGGGCTTTTGTCTGTCTCATTTTATTATCGCAAGTTGGACTACACAGGTGCACGTGCCTACGTCTACGTATAATGCTATTTGATGAGAGGTAACCTCCCGAGCTAGTATCGCTCCCGTTCTCGCTTCTCCATCCTGAGGCTGTGCAGGTTGGTGCCCGGAATCAAGTTATTGGTCCCTGGATTTGTGGGTATAGTGGTTGGGGCAGTCTTGGGATTGGCTTCAGGCGGCGACTCCTTCGCTTTGCTCATATCATCCACCTTGTTGTTCTCCTTGATGATTTTGGGCGGCATCGTAATGTCCAGGCTATCCGAGTTCTGGTAGAAAAGATAGCAGGCTGACATCAGGCCCACCAGGGACAGGGTGACCAGGGACCAACGCAGTCCAGAGTTAATCTTTAGGCCTCTGAAATTTGCCGTTTATACTGGTGGTTTCACCAAAATTCTGTGGTATTATGTATTCACAAATATACTCACAAAAAGAGCGTGTACTTGACCAGGTTAGTATAGGTCTTGTTGAGATGGACACCCTCCTCCACCCAAAACAGAGGCAACACAAGCTTGGGGAGATTCTTCAGGGGCTCAATGCCCTCCACTGGCTCCATGTCCATGTTGAACTGCAGCCGCTTGGCAGCCTGGAAAGGAGTTCCGGACATCTGCAAAAGTCTCACATTATTTAGGATAATTTTTCTTGGAGCATTATCTTTAAGAACTGACCAATTCAAAGTCAATGTAGACCGCGTGGTCCTTCTCGTTGGGGTTAAGACCATCGACAGCAGCCAGTAACTTGGGATCGGCTAAGTAAAAGTGCGGCATGGAGGCGAATAAGGGCCCGCCTACACAGGGGGCCAGATTCATAGTTCCCTTCGGAGGGCAGGTGTCCAGGTCCTCGGGATCATCGCAGAAACAATGCAGTCTCTCGTCCGACCGTATATCACCCATGTCCAGAGTGTACCTCATCGATGGCATTCCATGGTAAGACGACTTTCGCTGGTAATAAGCACCCAGGGAGCGGCACAAGTCTGGAGTGAATGCCCACAGGCCGTCTTCCTTCTTCAAGCCGGGCGCGAATACTGTAGAGTCGGTGCCAACGAAAGTGTTGCACTCCCCATCCGGCCAAATGTCCTGCTCCGGCTCATTGTCAAATTTCACAACCTTGCCCAGTTTCTTGTTGTTCTTCACTCCGCGACAAACGGTGAATCGTCCAGCATCCGAATGGTTAGCCTATAAATTTTTAAAATTATAAGGTACCGAGACTAATATTATATACAGCTATAAAATTATAAAAGGAACTCGTTTGTAATCTGATTTTAACGTTAGGTAATGTAAATCGTACATATTTAAGTTGTTTATTTATACACTTCTCATAGGGTTTGCTAAACTTAGCGATTGGAAAAAGCGAAGAAATGTTAGGATTCTTCGGTATTAATGATAATTTGTGACTCACCTGTCCCATGAAAGACATTAGAAAGTGTGTCTGGTTCACTTGTTTGGCCTGCTTAACATCGCCAGTGTAAAAAACCGTGCAGAGTGCCTTGGCCGCAAAGTCATCCGGGGAGCAATCCACGTCGATTCCCCGGAAGAAGATGTCCATGAACTTGCCCTTAAAAAAGGCCTTGGCATCCGGAAAAACTAAGCCCAATCCCCTGGAAACCAGCTCCATCATGGCAGCCTTTTCCCTTTGAACCGTAATGCCGGCAGGCTGCAAATATGACGAAGGAATTTAAATCTCTCAAGCTTTTATTTATTTTTTCACAGTTGCGTTGCTTCTGTTTTGGACTGGGAATGCCATTTGCATAATTCACATGGGCAACAATGGGACACGTGGTCATAAGCGTTGCCTTAATGGCATAAGATAATTGCTAAATTAATTTGCTGACGCAACCATGTTTTAAGGTTTAGGTTTTGCAAATACTTTTAAGTTAAAGTGTAAGAAATCTTTTCTTTTTCAAAAGACAACTTCTTTCTATAATTTCCTATTATTTTGAGTGCTCCAAATACCTTACCATCAATATGGGATGCGGCATAATGATTTCCTCTTCCCCCGTGAGCGGAAGTGAATCCTTCTGGTTGAATATAAAGGTATTGCGCATGTTGAAGCTGACCGTGTCCTCCACCACATCGTCCTCCAAGTCGTACTTGTCTTTCCACTCACTTACAAAGAAAAAAGAACAAGATGTTGAAAAATAACCTCATAAGATGTGTCCTCCATGGAAACCCACTCGAATACAAAGGGACCCACTTCCTGTAGTCGCGGTTTGCCACCTTCGGCAACCTCGTCCGGATTGGTAACATTGAAAACATAGATGTAGAAGTGCAGCGGAAAGGGTGTGTTTGACCAGAGTTCCCGAACATCCGATCCCGGCTTTAGAGTGACTTGCTGTTGGAAGGAAAAACCCTGTTAGACGAGTCCTAGCTTATCCGCAAACGATCTCCACCGAACCTTGGAGATCATAAGCTTTAGGATTTTGGGAAAGAGAATCCAGCCGTAGATAATGGCGAACACGAAGGTGCACGCCGAGGCAATGAGGAGCTTCATCCGGTGTACTTGCATCTTGGATGGATTCCTGTGGTGCCCGTTCAGAGCAGAAGACCTGAGGCTTTCGCAGTCACGACGCAACTAAATCGTCTCTACTGCCAAGTCCGGATTACCTCCCGTTCGAGCGCGTACGTGCGAATATTTTTCGCTATCTCTGGGGGGTCCCAGTCGGCGGGGGAGGTGGCAGCGGGATTGCGAAACAATCGGAGAACACGGCATTACTTATAAAATCAATAATTGCATGTATTTGTGTTTTATAAATTGTTTTCACTCTACGCTCTACGCAGATTCGGCTATACTCGCTATTGAAGTATACACTAATGCGGTTTAACTGGCTTTTGTTCTAAACGCCGAATGCCATTTGATCACTAATGGTTCATATAGTCCGAAATCGGAAACCAGTTAACCGATCTCAAAAGAATTATTTGGTGCCATAAAAACATCTCAATTTACCGTTCTTGCAGGAGAGCACACTGTGTAAAGCCTTTGATCCTGGACCTTATTAGTACCTTAAAGTGCTTCAGCATATGTGCTAATGTCTATAGTCTCTAGTCATTAGTTGTAGGAGAATCTATTATCTCCTATTTAAGTGCTTTGGACTTGAAACTTATTAGGAGAAAAGCCAGTTCTTTAAATGTCCTAAGTGACACCTGGCTTATATTCAACTGTTGGCGTTGGGCCATGGTCTTGGTTCCCCCTGTGTCTTCCTATTAAATTGTATCTTTTTTCTCTCGACGTAAGTAGGGTTTCCTTGGAACTTCTTGAGGAGAAACATATTTCTGTAACTGCAAAAATTGTACATTTCTTAAGCGACACCTGGCCGATATTCCATTGTTAGCTTTTTTGACCTTTGTTTGGTCGCCTTATTTCCGTAATTATTGCAATTACCATGTCGCTCTTTAGGAGGAACCAAGGCAAGTGTTGATGGCAAATAGGGAAGATAATGACTTACATATGGAACTCAGGGACACTTTGGGGTGGTAAGAAATATTAAACTCTTTACGAAACTGATTATATCGTTTATTTTACATCTCATCGACTCTATTTAATATTTATTAGAAATGATAACAAAGTACTATAGTATGAGTGATGGGATATCACTGACCAATAGATCATATCGGATCGGATCATCGCTTCGCCTGGCTACGCCCCTTCTCGGAAGTGAGTCTCCGGTCTGTTGACATAAACAGAAATCGAAACTGAAACCGAGAGCAAAACATAATAAATGACAATGGCAGAACACAGAGCACAGAAAACAACTCAGACAATGGGCAAGACTCAGACACGTGACTCTGATGCCGCAAACTTGAGACCGGCCGGGACAGAGCCGCTGGAACCTACGACGTAGACGTAGCCCCTCTGGAGTGACACAGAAAAACGAGTCGCTGAAATATGTAAATTGAATTGCGCTTGACAACAGCCGACGATCGAATAGATCCAGATACCGATGCAGTTGCTCCAAACACTGAACACTAAAGCTCAGACCAAAGCCCGGGCTTCTTTCGCTGATTTTCCGCTGACCAAATGGAAATCGAACACAAAACGCCAGCGCAGCCACCAATGTGATTACAACCGAGCTGGCGCTGATTAATCCAGCGTCAACGGGGAAGCTTTCAATTTCGATCGGAGCCAGTTATTGACAGTTGGTATCAATTACGCAATTCCGGTGCTTGGGATTGAAATTTAGCTGATTTCATTTATTTTCGGGACTTTTAGCATTTCGGGAAACTTGATGATACAAAGCAAAGCAATTCATATTTTTGTTTTTATACCCTTGCAGGGTATTATAATTTCAGTCAGAAGTTTGCAACGCAGTGAAGGAGGCACCTCCGACTATATAAAGTATATATATATTCTTGATCAGGATCAACAGCCTAGTCGATCTAGCCATGTCTGTCTGTCCGTTTCTTCGCAAACTAGTCTCTCAGTTTTGAAGCTATCTGAATGAAACTTTGCAGTTAGTCTTCTATATACTCTCACTCGTATATATGTCGGAACGGGCCGGATCGGACGACTATATCATATAGCGGCCATAGGAATGATCGGAGAATTCTTACAAGAAAAATTATAACATTTTTAGTTTTCAACAGAATTTGATCAAATTTAAGATATAGCCATTTTATATTATTCTACAATTTTGTGTAAAATTTTATGAAAATTGGACGACTATATCATACAGCTCCCATAGGAACGATCGAGAAATTAATTCAATTAAAAAGTATAACATTTTAAGTTTTCAACAGATTTTCATCAAATTTGATACATAGTCATTTTATAAGAAATAAAAGAAATTAATAAAATTAAAGATTATAACTTCTTCAGTTTTCACCAGATTTTCATCAAATATGAGATATAGCCATTTTATTTCAGTCTACAATTTTGTGTAAAGTTATAAAAAAAACCCGGACTACTATATCACATAGCTGCCATAGGAACGATCAAAAAATGAATACAATTAAAAATTATAACGTTTTCAGTTTTCAGCAATTTTCATTAAATTTAAGATTTAGCCATTTTATATCAGTCTTAAATTTTGTGGCAAATTTCATAAAAATCGGACGACTATATTATATACGTGCCATACAAACGATCGTTAGATGTGGAGCAAAAATGCAAATCTGTGAATGTAAAACTGAAAATATAATATGTATAGGTGAATGAAATGAAAGCAGGTATTACTTCATTGTTTTCTAACATTAATATATATATATTTTATATTGTATGGAAGGAATCCAGGAAGTCATCGAATTTCTATCTGCAAGGGTATATAAACTTCGGCGTGCCGAAGTTAGCTTCCTTTCTTGTTTAAAGATGAATTGATTTCCTCAATTATTAAATTCTTTTTAACATTAATTTTCGAATTCTAACATTTTAACATAAATTTTCGAATTTAATTTAACATTAATTTATTATTGTTTTGCATTATAATACAAAATATTATAGTCGTAATTTTTTTTGGTTACTTATCTTGCTAGCAACTTCTTATCTGAGAAAGTAGTTTTACTTATCTTTATGGAGCATTTGGTATCTAACTGGAGAGACAATCAAATTGATTATATCTTTATATGGACTACATTATATATGTACATATGTGTCATGAATGAACAGAATAATGAATTTCCTTTTAAATTTGATTGATATATGTATGTACAGCTTATTTTGCTGTAAACCATTTCCCACTTGATTTATATTTTTCTTTATTGATCAGTTGCATAGACCATGTAATGGATTATTTCTTTATCGTATGTGGCCCTTAACATTATGCAGTTTTACGTTTCAATCTTAAATTGCTTGCCTATTAAATGTATATATTGTCATAACTGATGGCGTTGCTTGATTAATAATGTTATTAAATTGTCAAGCGCTACGGCAAAAGTGGTTCTCTCAGGGAAAACAGGCTTTATTGCTGAATACATTTTTAATCATTGATAATAATTTGATCTTCACTATAATGTCATTCGCTAGGGTTTTGACAAACAATTCAATTAATTTTAAAAGTTGGATGTAGTTTCCTTAACTTATTACAATTGTTTTTCTCAACTATTTCAATGATCTCTAAAAATTGTTATAATCATTTTAAAAGCAAGTTATTAACAAAGTTATATTCTGTATTTATTTTTGCTTTATAACATTTGCTAGATAACATAAAAATTTCATCCATTTATTGCTATACCTTTGTTTTTAGAAATCGATAAAAAGTGATCGAAAATTATCTTTTAAAATGGTGAAACACAACTCACTATCCCCTTGCAGAAAGTATTATGAATTTAATTAGTAGTGAAGGAGACATGTGACCTTATCAAGTACCAAGTATCATCAGCCGAGTTAATCTAGACATGTCCGTCTCTTCGTTTCTTAAATAATAAACTTTGTTGATATGTCGAACCACCATAACTTATGGGTTTCATAGAAATGCTTGGAAACTTGATAATATAGCTTTCTTGCCTTTCGACATATTTCAACGGGATTTGACAATTTTAATGATTTCCAAGTGCTTTGTTGCAATGGTATGTAATCTTCGGTTGGACAAATCTAGCTTCCCTTCTTGTTTTAAAGTTAAGTCGTGTTAAAAGACCGCCTACACAAGTGGCTTATAACCCTGCCGGGCTTTTCTAATTGCCGGCAACTTAAAAGGTTATCAAGTGTAACAATTAGCAGGCCAGTGAGGAATCCCACTATCCTCCGCCCACTCGAATGCTCTGGCATTGCTTTGCTAATTTCCCAACTCATTTGCGGCGGAGTTTAGTTCTTGTCGCGAAAAATTAATGTCTTAAAGCCCAACCACCTCTGTATTCTCTCTCTGGTTTCTACGCTGAAAACATCAATATGCTCTAGCTGACAGCGTTTAATGAATTGCCCCAAAGTCAATGAAAAGCGAGTGACATTTGCACTATCAGCCATCGGCGGCTTGTCAACTGAGTGAATCATCGGTGAGAGTTGTGGAATCACGTGAGGATTGATTGCATAAAGCCCGGAGACGACAGACCCAGTGTCGATCGTACTGGGCGTTGTGGAAGTGCCTTGAGCAGCTGGCAAGCCTACATCATTTAACATCAATTACAACCCACTCAATTGAGTAGCATTCTGCTTAAATATTCATAAGTTTGCTTGTGCATCAACTTGATATCAAGTGCCAAAGTCACCAAAGCAAATGCATTAGCATATTTATATATATTTGCTTGGGTACCGTGTACTCTTGACGATACTGCGGGGTAGTATGAGTCAAGGGACATGACAATAAAGACGGCTAGAGGAATATATTTAAGGATCCATTCGGTGGGGTATCATGTTTAAAAGTGCCAAGAAATATTAAGATATTTCTAAATTATTTGAATCAATGGGTTGAAAGTATATTCTCTCAACTGTCTTTACAATTTGTATTTTATTACAAAACTCATTGGAAATGCAGCTTTGGTTAATTTATTGCCAAGCCGCCTTCTTCCAGCAGCGTTGTACCGCCTTATGTCAGTAAAAAAAAACTGGGTGACCCCCTCAGACAGAAACTGCACCCGGAGCCAAGCTGCAATTTTAATCAATTTTTATATTATTCGCTTCTCGTGCGACACTTCGCAAGCCCAAATGAAACAGAAAATTGTTTGAATGCCATTTTGGCTTTTGTTGTGTGTGCTTTTAATTATTCCCATCGCTGCTGCTGACGTCGCTATGTACATACATATTTGTTTCTGATATTCAGCTGGCGATTTTTCGCGATTGCTTCCCTTTGCACAACCAGGCGTTGCTCTGGCAGTGCGGTTTCTTCAATTAAACAATAATTTCGATTACGTGACCAGAGTTCAATGTTTGAATACGACTTTGTGCTGTTGATGTTTGAAAGCAAAGTGTAAGGCGCAGTGCAATCGTTGAAATTCAAATGGAAGCCAAGGAAAATATGTAGGACTTGATAGGGGGGAAGTTCTATGGTAAAGGTCAATTGGGGAAATGTATCGATATTGCCTAGTACCTCCGATTAGTAATAGTAACAATAAAAACCCACAACTTGGTGTGCTTTTCCCCTGAACGACCCGCAAATCACACCAGACGCCAGAGAGTCTGGCAAAGTAAACCGCAGAGGCAAAAAGATACGCGGAAACGACGGACAAAACTACAGATACAGATAGATACAGCAGGCGGTTCAAGCGGTAGATGCAGTTTATAATTAATAGATACAGATTAAACTGCAATTGATTCGTGACAGTGGCCAAAGTTATGCAATTAAGTTTGGGGGAGGAGTGCCCGGGGGTCGTGTAATTGCAGTGTATCCATCGGATACAATGCACTTGGGGATTGAGTCAGCGATTAGTGCGAAGACTGTAGCTAAGCGAATGTATCTCAGAGTCTTGGGACAAATGCTGCAACCCTACGGCTGAGTCACTTGCCCCGCCAGCCGCGTGCGTCATCCGCAGAACGCACGCTGACATTAACATATGTGCGGATACCAGATACATTCGTATTTAATTGCCATTAATTGCGGTGGGTATCTATTAGATGCGTACGCCATATGCTCGATTACCCAACTTGCGGTTTGGCTTTGATGGCTGACTTGTTCGTTGGGTTGGGTTTTTGATTCAACACAAATTGCTGCCACTTGTTGCTCTCCGTGGGAGTGTCTATTATTACTATGGTCACCCCACTGTAATAGGTTTATCAATTGAACCATTTTGATTTATGACCTGGCTTCCAAAATAAACAGATAATATGAATATATATATTTTCACATAAGCTGAAAAATAAATCATTTTTAGTATTGAAAACCTCTTTTTAAAGTCGCATTTCATACATATTTGTATGTATTTATTCTTAGAAAATGTAATATTTCTTATTGAAGCTTGATGAATAATAGTTACACTGAGATTTAAGATATTGAAAAAAGAGTCTTACTTCACTTGAGAATATATTAAACTTTTCATTATTACATTTCCAAGCCATTTCCCTGTACATTAGCGTAATTTACCTGGCCGTTGGGTGTTCTTATAATATTCCCCATTTGAGTTTAGTTTCGGTCCATTTCTGCTGTGTCATCAGCTGCCATATGTCGGACACCTCTTCCCAGCTTGGAACAGCTTTGGTTGCTGCCCTTGTTTTTCCATTTGTTTCTTTTCCCGTCCGACTTTTGATTTTTCCCCCGCCGATGACGGCGCGTAAATAATGAAATTGGTCTTTGTTTTTCGCTTGGTTTCTATCTGGTGTGGGAATGGGGGAAAATCGGACGACCTTCACCTCTGGCAGAATGGAGGCCGAACGTCAGACAGCTCATATCAACACACAGGGACTGATCGAAGGCGCTATTAGCTGCTGCGCATCCTGGCCAGGCGAAATGATACCAAACACTCTTCTTTTTTAGATCCCCAGAGAAGGCGGCATATCAATGTCGTACAAAAGAAAATATTTCGCATAGCGCAGAGAGACAACCCATCGAGAGAGACACAGATCTACGCCATCTGTTCCCGAGCAGCCAGCCAAAGATTTAAGAAGATCACAAATGGACACACATTGTGACTTCATCGAGGAGCATGTGAAGCAGCAGCCGCTGGGCATCCGCGAGGAGACGAACCAGGATGCCAAGGAGAAGCAGGACCTCCTCCCAGAGGGCCTGCCGCCGCCGGCCAATCCCTACCAGCAGTTCGCCAGCGAGGACAGTTTCGAGTGTGCCTTCGAGTCCACCATGGACGACCTGGAGCAGGGCACCCTCGATGGCTATGAATCGGACTCTGAGGCGAGTGCCAACGAGCAGATCACGGACTCGGCCTCCTCCGGCAGTCTGGGCCAGGTGCAGCAGCGCGAAGAGCGGGCGCGGGGCCTGCCTGGACCACTCCATGGCCAGCACATTGACCAGGAAATGCTGAAGTGTCTGCCCCGATCCAACTCCTTTGACTTCCACAGCAGCAGTGGCAGCAGCAGCGACGACGAGGACGATCCGGACGATGATGACGACCACGACGAGGTGCAGCACAGCCTGGGGCTCACGATTTGCGGCAAGTTTGCCAAGGCCGATCTCTATTCGGGTCACCAGAGACCTGGTTACCTATTGGCTCCGTTCATCGAACGTCGCCGCCTGTCGCAGTGCAAGGAGGAGGACGACGAGGACGGGGAGGTTGACAAGACCCAGCCATCGGGAGGGTCGTCTCTTGGAGAGGCCACGAAAGCGGAGAGGGCTTCGAAGGCACCGCCGCGTCCACCTACGCCGCAGGATGAGGCCTCCAAGGAGAAGTTCAAGGACCTTGAGCGTCTGAGGCAGCAGTTCATGCACAAGATCGACCGGATCAACACGCGCAACATTGAGGAGAGCAAGGCGCCTCCGCCACCACCTCCTCCGCCGCCTCCGATCCCGGCAACAATTCTACCAAAGGCCCTCAAAGAGCTACTACACACGCAGGAACCGTCAGCTCCACCGGTCCCGGTCACTCCACCAGCGCTAACATCAACTCCCATAAAGGAGGCCGTGACAGTGGCCAAGGAAACCCCTACGACACCTCCTGTGGCCAGTGAGCCCATATCTCCGTTACCCTTGCCCTCTGAGCCGCCGCTAATCATCAAGGGCAAGTTCAAGGTGACCCTGGCGCAGGAAACACCAGAGCTGCGGGTCGAAGCCTCAAAACTGAGCCAACTGAAGGCCAGTTCCAATGCGCACACCATCAGCTTTCCCTCCAGCTTCGGCGGTTATTCCTCGGTGCAGGGCCTTTTCTCGCAGCGATACGGATCCCATCGCTTTCCGGCAGCCGCCCCACACCTGTCCAAGCAGTTCTTCGAGCCATCGCTGGTGGAGATTCGCACGCCGGCCCAGAGCAACGTGGACTTGAACACCACCGGGCTGGTACTGGGGAGCAGTACCAATCACCAAAGCCTCAATTGTGATACGAATAGTTTAGCTAACAAGCAACGAACGCCCAGCGAACGGGGGCTGGACGAGATCTGGATACGGCGCCAGGATGGTGGAGTTGACTCTGCCTCCACCGTGGCACCTCCCCCGTTTCTGCAGCAGCAGCAGCAGCAGCAGAGGCCCGTTTCCTTGGGCGGGGCATCGACCATGCCCCGTTTGCTGAGAAACGAGAGCAGTGCCTCCACCACGAGTCCATCCCGCCAGCTGACCAACTCGGGATCCGTCTCGGTATCAGTGTCGGACGATGTAAGTAAGGGTTGGGTCGATCTTTATTGAGAAGTGAAGTAAGAGATCATGATCTTGGAATACCTCCTGCTAGTTTAGGTGTTAAATGGGTGCAACATCAAATAGATAAATGTTAATTTCAACTAAACTTGACTTTAAAAAAATCCTTTTTCTACGCTTTAGTACTTTAGTTTACAGAGGTCATAGATATGCGGTGTAAAGTACAATCGCACTTAACGCACTTTACTCAAAATAGCTATAGTAAAGATCACATGTCTTTTGTCGAGTCGAAAAATAATTGACAGGGAGTCTGAGTCCCTGTTGATATAAGCTCTCACATTGACACGGTTGACAACAAAATGATCTTAGTAGATAGTTCATCGCTTTAGTTGGGATTACAGGTCTTATATTAGAAAAGCTATTTGCATTACAGATCAACTTAAACATAGTACAAAATATCCCAAAGTGAAAACATGGATCGTAGCTGCAAAGAGATTTAAGGGAATTCATTTAAAAGAGTTCCATTCAAAGTATCTTAATGCAATATTACAACCCAATAGCAATAAAAATAATCGTTATTACATTTGAATATAATATGACAGATGAAGAATGTCATAATAAATGTACGTAACTTAAGAGGATGAGAAGAGTTACAATTACATCCTAAAATCTATAAATTTCTGATACAAACTTTTGAGACGATTAACAATAACATATTTCTTCTCTATAGTACATAAAACCTACTCTTAAATTAACTTACCTTTCGATTGGTATCCATCTTTTTACGGCTGAAAGGTGATTCTTAATTCTGCTTCTATTTAGTAAATGCTCAAATTTTTAGCACAAAATATTCATTTCGAAAATAATATTTATTACCCAAAGTCCCCTAATAATTAATTTCAACTAACTTATTTAATAATAAACCAAAGCAAGTAAGCTCAAAATGTATCCGATGACTTACGTTTAAACCTAATTGGAGCTCAAAAGGGCTTTGTGTAATTTTAATATTCACAGAATTGACTGACGTCATTTGAGTTATGTGCACTTTTCATTAGGAAGTCATTTAGCAAGTCGTACTCCCGGTGAAAGATTCGAAGCACGATAAAAGGGGAAAGGCGCCGCTAAGTTTTCTTGATGTCATAAGAACTACCACCACTGAAATGTATTTTACATTTTCAGTTACTATCCGATAATAAATTTCCAGAATTTAAATTTAAATCAGATTCATCAACAAATTCAGTAAAAATCTCTTCTTTTCTAGCCTATATTGGATATAGTATTCTGATTTTAATGCAGAATGTATACATGTTTACCTTTTAAATGAATGGTTAGCCGTTTATTCTATGGTCAGGGCAGTCTCTTAGACCAATATCTCATGGTCTCTAATGTTTTGGAATGATTTTTTAAAAGTATTGATGGTCCGGCCTTTGATCCTCTTAAGTGGCATGGCCACGAGATCAGTACATTTTCCAATCTTTTAAAGCTGCCTCTTGGGTCTCTCTCTCTTGCCGAGCTGCTGTTCTTCGGGAATCTGTGGCATGTTCATGTTCTCATTTTGTTTATTCAATATTAATAATTCGCCAGCGCCTCAGATGCCTCTACGAAACTCATAAAGTTGTCTATTTATAGCTCGTGAAGTGAAAGGGGAGGCATACGAAATGTATTTCAACTTTTTGTATTGTGCTTCCTTTTCGGCCTTTTTGAGTTTATTTGTCTGGCCGAAAGGTAAACACGACACGGTGAAAAATCAGCTTTTTGGGGCTTGTTTTTATTGTGCCACACACATATGTGTGTCTGTGCCGGGCTATATATAGTCGGGCATTTTCTGTTCTCTTGGGACGGCAGGCAGCCCTCCAACTCTCTCGCTTATCATGACACAATTTGTCAACAGTTTCGGCCCGGAATCCGCCGATTTGTATTTGTTTTGACGGAACGCGGACATATCGCGTACATGTATAAAATTTCCATATAGGCAGCCGCTGTGTATTTACCAGGTCTTGGCAAACAATGACGTCAGTTTTGAGCCGGCTCTCGCCGCTCCCATCAGAACCCAGAACCCAGAACCCAGAACCAGAGCTAGCTGAAGGGAAAGTCTCCCCGAGTCTAAAGCGTTTTATAGCTGTCCAAATATTGAGTTAGACGAACAGCTGATATCGAAAACCCTCCTGAATCATTATACATACATATATACACTGTATGTATTTCCGATTCGCACAAAAGATGGAGAGCTTCTGGTTTTTATGGTAACCCACTTTGATCCGATCATAATACATAAAGGCGGCTTTTGTGTGTTAGCTCATCGAAGTCGTCTGCGACCCTCGGGGCACGTGACTCGGCACTTTGGTAATGAAACACTCGGCCGTTAAAAAAAGCTAAGCAAAAAACACAAATAAAAAGGGCAACAAATACAGCTTTTTGGCTTTGAACGCTTTGCGATTTTTGCTAAAAATAATTCAAACACAGGTGTCTGCTGTCCCCGATCTTGAGAGCAGCTCTTCTCCCCTCACAAAAATGGCTCTGATGATTGTGAAAGTTGTTGGGAAATGCAGGAAATGGATAATTAAAATATTTCGCTATTGTCATCATCCACACTACAATTTTCTGTAGGAATTAATTTAAATTGGTAAACAACTGGATCTTAGGTGATTAATTTTATTAAAATGCTAAATCAAACTGGATTTTACAACATATCTAAGAAGTAAAAAGAACCTACAAGTAAACTATCTGAGCTTTTTAAACTGATCACATTTCACCTAGTTGAAAGTAGACATTAAACTACACAGTAATTAGTCAAATTTAGTTTCTCATTTGCTTATCTAAATGTTGTGTGCGGTGAGGGGATTCCCACTGTGAGTGATTTCCAAGTTATCTGCTTTTATTTCAAAGAGTTTTCGTTCACTTCAAATACCGCCAAAAGTCCACTCCAATTGATTTCCTGGCAAACAGTCAGACAGTCGCCTGGCCCACATTCGCTTGCAATTTTGCGTAATCATAAATTAATTGATTAAGCTCGATCTAAGGCGCCGCAGGATGGCAACAGGATGGGTCTTCCCCCTCCTATTTTCGCCGTCTTGGCCCAATTAAACGGACACATCGGGTGTCGTCTGCTCCTTCAATTGCCGGCTCTCCGGGTAACGCCACTGTGTATTGTGGCGAATAAATTGTATTTGTAGACAATTCGGCATAATTGCAGCAGCTGGCAAAGGGGCGACCAATAAGTGAGGGAGGTAAAAGGATATGGGGATAATGGATAGTGTATAATGGTTATCGGTTATCAGTCGACCCAACCGGCTAGCGTTCAGTTTGCCTTGGCCAGCGTCGCCAGAAACATGCAAAATAGTCAACCAGTCGAGAGCCCACTAATAGATGCCAACTCGAATCCCTCCGACGCGCCAAGTTCGATCCAAACTAATTCCCAAAAACGTCATGTTCGCTTCCAGGAGCAGGATGGCAGCATCGGCGGACCCAACCGGCTGCCAGGATCCCGGCCATCGAGTGCCCCAGCAGAGCCCAATGCCAAGGCGGCCAAGAAGGCCTACAAGAAGATGGAGAAGGAGCAGCGGTGAGTTTTTTATTTTATTAGAGTATGTCCAGTGGCATCTGAAATTATTTAAACTAAAATACTATCTATTAGACAGTCACATTTTGTTGTAAAATGTGACATGTGATATTTTTTAAACTTTGAATTGATTTTAAAAGAATACATTCTAATTTCTTTCTTCTCCAAACTTTAAATTCTATTATTTCATTAAAATGATCAGAAAGGATGCAGATAAAAACATATATTCTTAGACAAGCCACCATAAATTCAAGTATTCAAAAAGAGATTCAAGCTTATTTTAAATTATTTTCAAAAGTCTTTCTGTTTTCATTATTTATCTATCTTAATAAACAATTAAAATACTATTTATTAAAAGAAGAAAGAAATGAAACAGAGGCCATATTGTATAATGACAAAGAAATGTATGAGTATCGCACCTCCTTTTGTTCAGACTCTTTTGACATTAAAATCACTTCCATTGTCCACGACAAAAACACCTTTGGCTATATCTTGAGTTATAGATTCCATGTCACATTATAAAGAATCCCGTCTAATGACTCCTTTTGTTTATGCCCACAGTCGCCAGGAGAAGGAGCAGTCGCGACGCGAGAAGGAGGCCCGAAAGCTGGAGCGCGAGACGGCGCGACGGATTGAACGGGAGGCCGCCAAGCTGGAGAAGATCAACAGGCACAGCGAGAAGATCTCACGCAGCACCGAGCGCATGGCTATGGCCGGCCATGGATCGCGCTCCGGGTCGCTGGAGCGGCGACGGAGTGGCGAGGATTCCCCGGTGCTCAACCAGTCGACGGTACACGGCATCGCATCTCCGAATCGCCGGCCCACGATCTTCGACGTGTTCCGGCCGCGTGCGAAATCGGATGCTAAGCGGCAGAAGGAGAAGCATCTGCTGGACCCCTCCTCCGCCGACAGCAGCGCCACCAGTAGCACGTATTCCGTGTCCGGTGGCACAGCGCCCGCCTCGAGTACCGGTGCCGGAGGAGCGACAGCCGGAGCGGGAGCAGCAGGAAGTGCTGGAGCCGGAGCCGGTGGCCTTATGAACTCAATGAAGGTGGCCATGCAGAACTTTGGCCATCGCCAGCATCCAGCCGTGACGATAACGAACGCCGACGGCACAGTCTCCGCCAAGAGCAAATACAAAGACGGCAGCGCCCATCCGCATCAAGGCAGCGACGCGCAGGTGAGTGATCCTTAGACCCGCTCCAGAACCATCTAATTGACACTTTTCCTTTCCTGGCAGTATTACCACACGGTGACGGCGGTGAGACCCAACGCCTCCCAGCGCTCGCCCATGACCAAGGTGATGGATCTGTTCCGGCATCGCTCCAATTCGGCGGTCAGCGAAGCCGACAAACGCAAAGCGGTAAGTAGGAGCTAACATATTGAAAGTCCTGGGAGGGACATTTTATTTTTTGATTTATAAGCGTATTTACAATTCATATTGGAATGTTATTGTACCCTTAAGCGGTATTGTCATATTAGTTCATTAGTTCATTTTCGACTTTTCCCACCTTAGTTTCAATTTATCAGCCATAATAGCCGAGTCGATCTTATTAATTTATTATTATCTTATTTATCAATGCGTTTCTACAGTCTCTGTTTTAAAGTATTTAATAATTTGATAAGACTAACTAGGAAAATCGATGTTATATATGAATGTGTTATACAGTACCAGTATAAATAGTGCAATGTTTATGATGCATTTTAATTAATAAGTCAGAGCTTCCACAGGGATCTTATTATTCAACATTTAAGTGGAAAGCTAAACATATCATTTGAGCGTAATTCTACCAAAGGATGAAACCTAGCTGACCGGATAGTTACTAAATAAACTTAAAACAAAGCAAATTGATTTTCCATCCTCTTAAAATTTATGAGTTTTAATTTATAACATATATTACTGTACCCAAAACCTTAAACCATAAACTTACAAACGTAGATAGATGTAGGGAGTATAGAGGAAGATATGTGATTATTTGACAGAAATATTCTCAAAATGCATACGTAATTAACTCAATATTTAATTGAATTTACAATGAATTAAGTTTCCTATTTAATAATTACAAAGGCTATATTTTTATCAGGCTGTTAAAGCACAGAAACTCAAAAATGAATATTTCTTCACAATAACATTTAATATGTCAATATTTCATTTCTTTGTTCCTATTCCTTATGTTAAAAGAAAAATTCTAAATAAAACAATCAAAAATAGCCTTCTACAGTGGTGAAGCCCATTATTTTCTAAAGTGATTCGATAGAACTAATTATTTCGGGAAATATCCGGACACCAGTATTTTATATTTTGCTATAAAGATAACCATAAAGTTATGATCTTTTTTAAGTAAAGATAATTCCTTTATTGGGTTACGTTATTATTCATTTTAATATTTATTAGGTTGTGTGTTATATACTTATGTGAAAAGTATCTTTAAAAAGTTGAATATTTATTAGGTTGTGTGTTATATACTTATGTGAAAAGTATCTTTAAAAAGTTGAATTGAAAGGTACGTAGTATTATGACCAGTGTATTTTGCACTGCTTTGTGGTGGAATAACGCGAACTGCTTTGTGGTGGTATAACACGTACTGTATTATGATAAGCAGTGAAAGCAGTTGTAATGAACAACACACCATAATGTGAGAAAGCACTTTGCAAGCAGTTTTGACAAAGTTATCGATCGTGTAAAAACGGTTGTCGAAATTTGAATTAGCTTTTGAATTGTTACTTATTTTGCATTTTAAGTAATTTTAAAACACTTAACTGGAGAGAAAAGCATCTTACAGGCCTTGATTTAAATAAGTAAAGCCTTATGCTAATTTATACCAAACACAAAGGTAATTGACTTGTGTGTACAGCTGTTTTTTTCATTGCCGTTGTCCTCATCAGTACTCGGTTGTTTACCAACCTCAACATTTAGCAAAGGTACCATCAATTGGTATAAAACCTTTTGCATTTAAGCGGTAAAGTCCGTGATTGAACTTTTATTTTAGAAATAAACAATAAATCAGACTAATCACTGTCCATTAGATTGATTGCTTGCGGAGATTAAACCAATCATAGACTATATCGCCTATTCCCCCTGAATGCCAGGCAGTCTCGAAATGTCCACTTGAGCTTTATCATCAACTGGAGGCGGCGTCATTATTAATAATCATCCATCTTCGATTCTATTGATAAGCGGCGCTTTTGTGTGTTACTTATCGCTTATCAGTCGCCGAAAAGCAGCAACACGACAGACGCGTGCGAAGAGCTTTCAACAACACAAATACATATATCAAAATATAGAAATGGAAAAAATACACAGAGAAAACAAGTCCTTGAGAGCGGAAAACAGCTACGACAACAGGTGATCGCAGCAACAGCTGTTCGCTCCGCTCTCTTCCGAAGCTTGCGCTGTCGTCGACTTTCTTCGATTCGCTCGGTTTTATTTATTTGTTTTGAGTGCGGAAAAGGCGCACACAAACAAAAACGGACGTAGGAATATTACGTATACGCCAGCGCTGCGCTCTCCGGCGTCAATTTGCTGCCGTTTCGTCCGCAGTTTTCTTCTTTCGCACGCTCCGCTCCGTGTGTTGTTATTCTCAATTGCAATTCCAATTGGACGGGCCAAGCAGCGAATTGTGCGCGTTTTCTTCTCGCCCTCCGCCGGTATTAACTCAGATATTAAGACAATAATGTAAATATCTGCATCTGGAATATCGAGTTTGTTCTTAAACCAAAGATGTGTCAATCGCAACTGTTTGTGTGTGTGTGTGGCAACTATTTATGGCCAAGAAGTGACTTTCAACTGCTTAAAGTGATATAAAAAATTGGTCTCTCGAGGGTTCTTACCAAATAATTTGTGACAAAGTTCCTCCTAATGTGCCTATAAATTATGAAGAAAGATATTTAAAGTCATTTTAAAAGTGGATTAAAATGTAAAATTCTGATATCCACGGCATTTAAAAAAGTTGATTAGTTAACAATGTAGTGAATTTCGATTTATAAAACGAACATAAATCCGTCTTCCGCCTCACAGTGGTTAAACAACACTTGCAAATGAATTTAAGATTCATTAAACGTTAATTTAATAATTAAAACAAATGAAATCTAACAGAAATCATGAAATTTCATTAAAGCATAACCATAAAATAAACAAAATGATATTCTATTTGTGGCGCAAATCGGACCATTTCAAGTATAAGAAAATTAGCAACAAATTTGTTATTTTGGTAGCCATTTAGGTCCTAATGTGCCGCAGCAATTAATTTCGTTTAAAACACTCAAAATGCTCTCTTTCTGGTTGCTCTTCCTCCTTCCTCTTTCTTGGCGGACACATTTTGTTTTTAATTTTCAAGTTCAGTGACGACACTCAAGCGGCACGTTCGTTCAGCGTTTCATAATATTTATCTTCATGAAATTCTATTTATTTAATTAAAAGCATGGAAATGAGCTTGGAGTGCGACAGGAAGGCACTACAAAAAAATAAACTACAAAACCAAAGAAAATAAATGACCAACATGTGATCCACATTGCTGTGTGTGCTGTGACTATTGTTCTATTATCGTCGTATTCATGAAATTTTGCTAACTAATAGCTACCGCTGTGTTTTTTGTCTGACTTTGCCGTTACCAGAGCCTTTAAGCCAATTCTTTAGTCGCTAATTTGTCAAGTGTCCAAGCTCTTGGGGAGTGAAGCAAGCGAGCATGTGCCTGAGAGCGATGAGGATCTATCATTTCTTCTGGCTAAAACTATCACCACAACAAGGGAAATTTGTACCCACAAAGGCAAGAATCCACCTCAGAGAGGATAGGAAATCCTTTGAACTTGTTGGGACATTCTCTCAGAGGATCAGCAGCTGCTGCTTATTTCATAAATTAGACATGGTTTTTTCCAGTCATTATTGTTTTTCACTGCTGACCGAGTGCTTTATGGCTTTTCAATGGATGATATCACGCGGCCCGGGCCCTTTTCGCCACAATTACTTAACCTTTGGCGGAGATAAGCGCGAGAGTGTTATGGAAACCGATGGGAAAACAAAAAGTTTATCAGCATTAGCAATAAAACCCACTGAAAGGCAGATTCACTTGGGAAACGCAAAAACTAATTTAGAATATACAACGGAAGACAGAAGACAGGCGATAAGATAAATGCAAGTAAGGGCGTTTAAATTAAATGGAGTCTCTGCTTTTTGGCAGATAACTCTGGTGTTTGCTCAGACTATATATGTACATATATACATACATATGTATATAGAAATTGGAAAGAGGCCCGATCGATAGAGCCATATCAGTCGGAGCGGAATCTGGCTTCCAAAAATGGGAAATTCCCACTTGGGATTTGCTCAGATCTGTTTTTATGGCTGGTCGAGGAAGTGAAAAGAAAGTGAAATATCTCAGGCATAAATTCGTCTTGTTTTGTTTCGGTCCCGCTTATTTAATTATTTCTATTTCTGTTTTTGTGTTACTCTTGTTAATCAATCACTTGTCAAAAGTTTAACTCTGTGTGTCTGTTCTGCCGGCTGGCATCCTCTCTCGTTATTTTGTATTTATTTGAATTTTTATCTCACTTGCCTAGAGGTCGACCACTTGACAAGTGGCAGAGCTTTTTGGCTTGATGTGGAGGAAGTTTGTTTATGGCACGTAGAGTCCGGATTTGGAATGTGTTAAAATATGTCAATTATTTGAGATATATATATGTATATAGAGTTCGTTTGCTATTGCCTCTTAAATTACTCATTGCCAAAGGAAATCAGGGGGAAGTTTAAGGCGTGAGTTTAGTGAACATTATTGCACAAAATGCTGTTTTATAAAAGAAATACTCACTTCAATTTTGATTTTAAACTACAGGGAACAGAAGGATGCATCTTAGAGTCCATTAAGTATTTATGTTACTGATCAGTATTTAGTTATTTGATTTTTTTGTTGTTGTAAAGAACAAAACAGATCTCAGGGATCATAAAGACTAAAGCCCATGCCCACTATTACATTTAAGAATCTTTAAAATGTTAATTAAATCTTTAAAACTAAAAGATATGCTTGAATTTTAGTTAGTCTGATAATATAAATAGAATTTATTAGTAATAAATCTTGAGTGATACCTAAAACTCCACAGTCAGAGCCTTCTGCTTCTGGTATTATTCTTGTTATAAAATATTTTATTTTATTTTTTTTGTAAACCCTGTATCCTTACAAGTATATTAAAACATAATGCCAATCAAAAATGTAACAGGCATCAACGACCCCATAAAGTATACATATTCTTGAACAGCATCACCAGACGAGTCGATTTAACCTTCTCCGTCTGTCCGTCCGTATGAAGTAACAGATCTCTGAGAGTTGAGATAGAGACAACAATTAAATTTGTTGTACCTAGAACAAGTTTGTTTTAAAAGTTTCTTTTCCGACCTAAAAAATCATAACTAAGCTATAGTAATGAATTTCAGCTTAAAGAAAAAGTTTACATCAAATAATTAATTTTCCGAGTAAAATCGGATGTAATCATGGTAGTTATTAGACAACATTCTGAAGTTTCTGTGCTTGTTAAATTAATGGAAATTAATAAAAATAAATAAAAAATAAGTTAGGCTTTTAACAACAGAGTTCTGCATCCTCTAAACCACTAGGTTACCTCCCTAACTGTGAATGTAGCTACCATAAAGGTGTTTTTAAAATTCCGAGAAAGATGAAGAGGACATTGTAGTAGTGTTCTGTTCTTAATATTTATAACTTGGTTTAAATCACAGAGCTTTTTCTACCGGGTATGTTGCAGAAGAGCGCCTCTGACTACTTCTACTTGCTACCTTAATTTTCAATGCGTTTTTAGATTTGCTACTTACATCTGGTATCTTCCTAAATAAACCAATACGAAAGGGTTCAACAATGTGTTTGGTCAAGTTGACAAACCCACTGCTCAATGCCTGACCTGTTTTAATACTATTTCCTATTACAAACATTTTATTTCGTCCGTTACTTTGTGTTCTTTTGTGGAATTCACTTAATTTTATAAATTTGCAAGCGAGAGCGCTTACATAAATTGGCTACGCTTTCTCCTCCCGTTTATTGCAGAATCTTTTACGCGCTTGGTCACATGCCAATGGGCAATTAACATGCCTCTGTTAGCGCTCTGTTAATTGAAAGCCTGTGAATATTGATGTTCTTGAAACGATTTTCGACCTTCGATCTGGCAGAAATCCAACCAGACGCACATTGCTAAATGGAATTATAGCCGAAATTAAAAGATTGTCTCCCGGTTTCCCGTAAACCTTTCCAGTTACTGCCTTGCCTCTGTGTTTTTTTTTTCTTATTACATTTTGTTGTGTGTTTGCCTTTGCTCGAGCAGCTAATTAACGTTAATGACTCTTACATTCTGTTTGCCTCGGAGTCTGTGTTTTTTCCGCAGCTGTCTATTATTTATTTATTACATTTTTCTGCCCATATTTAAACAACTTATATTATGGGCGAAGAAAGCTAGCTGACACAGCAACGAGCAAATTAGTATTTCCACATCCAAAATGCTCCCCTAAAGGCCTAAAAATAATTGTCTAATTTTACTGGCAATATTTAGTTGTATAATATAGAATAATATATAGAGCAACGTGTGGCTGGCCAAACAAAAGCGAAAAACAAGCAAGAAAAACAAAACAAATCGAAATGTGAGCAACGCAATAGCTTTCAACAATATCAAGTATACGCCCTGAGGTCCGTGTGACGAAATTTGGGAAAATTATCAAGTCTTTGGGGCATTTGACAGGTGTTAAGTTTGGAAATTAACTAAGATTATTGGTTGGTATTTGTTCAGGCTTTACGAATTTGCATGGACAGTGATAGTCTTTAGTTTACTTGTGTTGGAAGCAAAAGTAATAAGTACGTGTTCTTCTATACCCTATTTTGGTATGTGGTTTTGGATGTCGACAATTTTAAAGCTCCATATGGTAGGTAGCAACCTTTTCTGTATGGGTTTTCCTGTAGAGATTCTCTTGTTAACGATCGTAGTGAGCTTTGTCCAACAATTCCTTTTCTCCAAGGACGTCCGTCCTTGACACACCCACTGCACTCAAACGTTTCCTGGTCGAGGTGAATCCGTTCTTCAGTTTAAATTGATTGTCACTCAATAGAATCGCCTCCTCTTGTTATTTATTGCGTCTTCGCCGCTGAGTGTGTATGCACCTTCAATCAAAGTTTTTGTCAATTTCAATTGGACGACACACGAAAGCATTCAATCACAATCAGCGCAAACACGCCTTCCCTTCGAATCCGATGAACTTTTCTGCTGCGTTCAATCAACTCTAATGCGTCATCAGCTTCTTGCTCTTCTCTTGAGCGTGTTTTGTCTTCTTATTTAATTAAAAGAAGAGTTCGGGGTCAGGGATTAATTTGTGGGGTGACGATGGGGAAAGGTGGTAAGAGTGCTGACGCTGGGAACATTTTTTTCTCCATATTCGGACAGTATTTTGCATTATGGTCATTATTTCATTTATTTTCCCATTTCCGCAAAGCCGAAAAATAAATAAAATGCCAAGAGGGAAATTCTTGCCTGTCGGATAATTGAAAAATATACATAAATTTATGCGCTCCCGCTGAGGATGTAGGAACAATTTGCATAAATTATACCCCGAAGTGGGCAACACAGTGTACAAATAAATGTAAAACAAATTTAAATTAAAATTTATACAGAGAAAAAATTTAAACGGACACAGCATCTCAAACACCACCTGGCGTTGAGTAAAAAGAGCGCTCGATACAAAGCAGTTGAAAGTCAAGCAGTGCGCCACAAGCAGTCTTTTCTTGAATTTCCATTTGAATTTGTCGATAAAATTTCTATCTCTTTTAATAAAATGGAAACCCCACAAAGTGAACTTAAAAAATTATGAATCACCTGAGCTGATACTCAATTAAACATATTGTGTATATAGAAATTAGTAAAAGTGTAGCAAATATGTCGGCTGTAAAACGATGGATTTACCGCCACACCCACTCAAGCAGTTCGGCCACGCCCCCTGGGCCACCGCCCGTTTCGCCCACAACGAAAACGCGGCGCGGGCGCAGTCACTCCCTCGATGTTCAATCCCTGCCTGGAATTCGAGCAATGATGACCAACAATGTAAGGTTTTAAGGCCAAATATGTTTCTGATTATCAAATGTTTTATTTACTTACGAAATACAAATAAACATTAGTAAGTGAAAATTAAAGGAGTTAATAATGTGTAGTCCTATGTCATATCACAACGGGAAATTAAAACAATTTATTCATAGTTAATAATGACATAATAAATACTTTTTCCCAATTATATTGTAGACATCAATAAAATTAAAAAAAATAGTTTAAAGTTAAGTGAATTATAAATAGTTATTTTTTTACTCCGAAATATTCAGAAATTTACTATAATAGCTGAATTAATATGTTTCCCTAATCACATTCAAAGTGAAAAACTTAAAAATGATTAATGTTTGATCTCAATATTACAATTTTAATATATTGGATCTCAGAGAACTAAGTAGACAGAGTGGAACTATTTACATCAAGACTTAAAATATATACATATATATATAAATAAGAAATGTATTATAGATTAAAGTGTAACCATTAAGACATTGAGAATATAGTAAAAAACTACTTGGAGTATTCAGATGATTAATTACTTTTTATTTATTTATTTTGCAGCGTGCGGCGGCGCATCAACAACAGTTGGCTGTTCAAAGTGAGTACAATTCTCAGTGAAATTACATTTTTGTTTTTTTTTTAAACTATTAGATAGAACTGCAAGTACACTAGGCTACGTCTTACCTGACTTAACCATTTACACAAACCATCAGGGAATTTAATTAAAACGTTCACAGCACTGCGTCAAAGTCAAAGCAACCTTGACTTTGAAATCGAAGCGACGTTCGTACAAAAAGAAATATAAACAAACTGCGAAAACTGAAAACAAAACAAATAAAATCGCGGCAAATAAAAAATCATCAGCGGGCACCTTAAGTGGAGTTTTCGGTGAGCGAAAGAAAGAGAGCTTCGCATAGACAAGCAGAAACAAAGTGTTTTACATATGTAAATGTCGGTTAATATTTATTTATTTGCTTGCTGACCGATGGAATCGATTCGAAACCGCAGCCAGCGAGAGATCGGACATAGAAAACAAACCGAAATAAATAGAGAACAAATAAACAAGGCCCGAAAAAGCCATTAATTCTATTGCGTGGGTGTGGGAACTGTGGAATATTTTCATGTTTTGTTCGTTCATTGATGGTTCGAGTGATGTGGAAACATGCCGACACATCGGTGGCATTATTCAATTAAAATTACTTCTAATTTGATTAAGAACTTTATTAACTAATTTATCTGGCAATCACATTAGCACAGAGGCAACAATTTATGTCGATCTATGTATCAACTCATAGTGCTAATAGCTTAATTACATAATCAAATCACTTACAGCGTTCGTTTGTTTTTTTTAATGTCAAAAATTATATTTTTTATTTGCTAGGAATTACTCTAAGCTAGGCAAATGTTTTGTTGCATACTTTTAGAAACCCTAGGAAAAATATCAAATCTCTCCGGTTATTTGGAAATATTTTTAACCTAATCACATTTATGAATTTAAAATCACCATTTCAAATGTCACCTATTTAAAATGGTCGTTTTCTACATAACCAAACGAGTAACAATTGAAATAATAATAAATTAAAGCATGCACAGAAGCAGTACAAAACCATCGGAATAGAAAGACATCAACAAATAACAACTAATAAAATGTTGTTTACAAGTTTCAAGTAACATAAAAATCCGAAAAAAAAAATAGTGAGAGGCTCCTCTCACTGCGAGCTTTGCCCCAGTGCTGCGTGTGTGTGTGCAGTGAGTGTGTGCGAGGGAGCAAGAGTGAGTTGCAAACCAACTGTTGCTGCTGCTGCTCCCGGGATACTTACCCTTTGCTTGACCTTGAAAATGTTTGTGTGTACAGGCTGCACTTTTGCTTTTGTTGCTGCTTCTTATGCTAAGCTGCAGTTTCAATGTCAATCAAAAGTAAGAACGGAGCAAAACAGGCTCTCTCTCACTCTGTCTGTCTCCCTCCTCTTCTCTTTCTCTCTCTGGCACTCTACTCTCATTCAACGATGCATTTTTGTATTTTGTTTTGGTGCCACGCCGTTTATTTATTTTTTATTCTTTCCTTTATTATGTATTTCGCTTTACCCTTTTACTCCACCGGCTTATGACGCAATACAATTGAATCACACGAGAGCGCAAGAGAGGTGGCGAGGGAATGGTAGGATGCCGGGCCTTAGAAAGCACATTAAAGCGATTTTTTGCAACCCACAAACAAATCTCAGGCCGGCATTGATTTTTGAAGGCAGTCCACACAAAACATGTGTAGGTTTTATTGGTGTATTTTGTTGCATGCATGTGTATACATACATCCATATGTTGTGTGTTATATTTATTATTGCTGTTATCTCGCTGTTAAGTACACAGCATAAGTATAGAAACGAGCTTTATTTATTTCTCAAGCCAAACAACAGCATAAAACGGCGCATAACTAGAGCAGACGAGGTGGCTGCAGGGGAGCAAGAGCGAAACAGACGATGGGTTGAAAAGCAGAAAGTATCACGTAGAGTGAGTGGGACAGACAGGCAGCACAACCCCATTCTAAGGGCGAAATATTTGGACTGTTGTTTTGGTATCTCTGTCTCCCCTCTATCTCTCTCTCTTTTTCTGCCTACGTGCGTTATGGCACACACAGCAAGAATCAACAAAAAGAGCATTAGAATCGATGGAACGAAGAAAACGAGCGAAAAAAGGAAAACAAAACAATAACAGCAATGTAAAGCCCATGTAACACGACAACAAAACAAAAGCAGTACAGTGAACATTATAAATAAAACTTTTTTCGAAAATGTATAAGCACAGTACGAAACTAAAGTTGCTTTAAAAATCTCTCTGGTAAAAGGGGTGGGTAGCATTTGTTAAGCATACAAAAAGACCCGCCACTTGTAGGGAAGGTCATAAATTGATACTAAAGAGAACAGATGTCGAATACACCTGATAGGGGCTTGGGTTAAACATATGTATGCATAGAATTTGATTGTAAGTCAAGCAATAAACCTTTCTAAAACAATTTTGTAAGATACCTGGAACCCAAAGCATTGTGAGTGAAATTAATTTCTCTAAAACTTGCAAATTTTAAGTAATGAAGACAAATGTTGATAATAGCTAAGAACGTGTTGTGCAACTTCCAAATAAGTAAAAATGTTAAGTTTTATTTAGATTTTCTGATAACGGTCCTATTATTCGATATAAATTTAATTTTTTCGCCAAGGCAGAATTGATGAATGTTGTCACTAAAGTTTGTAAAGCTAGATTTTCTAGTCTCTGAAAAGACAAAATTGACTCGTCTGGTGATCAAGAATCTACATACATATTTTCCTTAAGTTGTTACTTTTACAATTTTTAAAAAATATTTCTCAAAGTCCGTGAATAATATGTTAAGATCAATTTTAAAAAAGCTCTGTATAATAATCGAATTTTTAAAGATCGAAATTGTGGCACTACGGATGCTGACGCATTCGGGACTGAACAGAAATCCGAAGCATCCGAATGTTCACGAACGTTCGGGGCATCAAGTGGGTTAATTTTACCGAGGTAGGCCTGTAATTCCAAATTCCGTTGTTAGGCAATAATAAGGGCGGCGGAGACGCGGAGAGAGTTCCATATATGAGGCGAAAAACAGAAAGTGGTTCGGAATTAAGTGAGATCAGTCCCTTGCGGTCAGCTGACGTCGTGCCACGCCCCGAAAATGAAACGCCCAACCTCTAGTCTGGCCCTAATCAACTTGGCCAACTCGGCGGTTACCTATCCACGGCCTTTTGCCTATTATGTATTCCGACTCCTCCGATTTTGCTTTGCTCGCTTGATTTTCTGTTGTGCTCACCTTTTTCTCGCGTTACACAGTATTGAGTCTGTATTGGTTTATATACATATGTACGAAACAGAGAGAACCAAAATCTCACGCACACCCTCAAGCAGCCTTGCCGGTTTGCCACACACATCTGTATATATATATTTATGTATATATAAGCAAACACATCTGTATGTACATACACCTCAAGTTAAAATATTAGCAGTAAATGACATTTATTGGATCTTACAGACTATATAGTTCCTGTCAGTAAATACGTTTCATAACCATTAATTTGTTTGATTAAAGTACAAATTAACATGTATATCAAAAACGATTATAAAAATTAAATTTTCTTACTATAACGTTACAAATCTTGGATTTAGATACATATTTATAATGTATGTACATGGTATATTTAAATTGATATAAATTTGACAACTTATTATATGTCGTAAATTAAATTTTAAATTCGAAACATACAAATATTCATATTCAAGAAGTCATTAAATTAGGTATATGAACATGTACATGTGTACATGTGTATTATATACTTTTATAGATAAATATTGATAAAATATCTTTTTAATATTTTTTTATTTGAAAACTTATATTTTGTAGGAGTAACTAAAATTTTTACATTTATTCAAAAATTTATTAAATTTGGTATAGGTACTTGTACATGTGTATTTATACTCTTATAGATAAATATTGATAAAATATAGATGAGCTAACTTTCACAAAATTCATTTCTTAAATATTAAAGTTCCCCGAAAACTTGAAAAGAAATTAAAATTTGTATCGTTACTATTAATATACCCGCAACTGTATATTTGCACATAGATACAGTATCTGAGCCACATGGACGAATGCGGAGCGCAGTTCGAATCCAATTGCCGGCAGAGTCGGATGCTCAGTACTCGTCGCTGCCAGCGTCACTCCACGTGATTTTTCGACATTTAGTGACTTGTGACTCGTGAATTTGCGCCTTGTGAAGTTGGGCACTAATTAATTAATTAATCCGCGCGCCCCTAGAGTGAAATATTTAAACACTTGGCTGAGGTTGTTGCTTCGAAGAGAATTAATATAATTTATCTTTAAGAAACAGCAATTATTAAAATATCCGAAAACATAATTAGTTGCAGACAAAGAAGAAACTGGATTTCGGCAGCACACAAATATTTTCGTTTTTCGTACGAACTGTCCAACTATAAATATGCATGAGCGGGCAATTTATGGTCAAAATTAAACAATAAAATCACAAATGTGCGTGGATGAAACATCTCGGTTCTTGAATTTTTCTAATAAGAGAAGCAAAAACTGTCACAAAAGTTATAAAATATTTACGCTGTCAGTTGGAGCAAGTGAAACACGTTAAAGCGGCTGTAACAAAATTAAGACTAAGCACAATGCCAGAATTAACCAGATAATACACAAAAATTACAATAATGAAATCGTTGCAAACCAACAAACAAAAACAGAAGCGATGGAAGCGGGGAAACATTTGCATAAGTTAACATTTTAATTTAAGCAATACAGCCCAAGGGCGTGTAATTGCCATAAAAATTAAACAGAAAACAAAAAAATTAAATTCTGCCTCTTTAGCAGGCCGAAAAATAGTCGCCTGACATGTGACTAAATCTTTAAAATAAAATGAAATAGTTCAGAATTTCGAAAGCACAGTGGGTGAGAAAAGAGTGTATTCGGGCATCCAAACTTTGTAAAAACAAGAAAATTTCCATTTCATCTCCAATGGTTGATAAAAATACTCCTATTTTTTAATTTTTTAAACCTGACTTTGCTAACGGTTA